GCGGTGGAACGGTGGGCCCTAACCAACGTCGGTCCTAGGTCCTGACCTAGGCCTCTGATACCATGTTAGAATCTAGAACTGAACGAGAATGGATGAAACTAGTCAGCAGGGTGATACAAGTAGGAAACCCTAACAATGTTGTACCCCCTAAGGCTAAACCCACTATAGCCTACACAATAGGAACATGTATAATGTTTGACACAGTGAGCTTGCTGCTGAGGACGTCGAGGATGTCACCTCTCCCTTCCCCTCCCCTGCCCCTCCTGCCCCTCCCCTTGTGGCCGACCTGCGTGGGATGAGTCCGGTGTTGGCCTCCGGTGATGAGGGGAGAAGTGGGGCGTCGCCCGTGGCACCGGCCAAGAGCATATCCGGTGGCCGACGTGACGTCCAGCAAGTCGACATGAGAGTGAAGTCGACGCCTGCAGGGGAGGATCAGGCTGAGGAGTTGCAGTCGACTTTGGTGAAGCCGGCGAAGAAGGCACCAGCAGGGCAGCATGCGACAGGGGAGCAGGCAGCAGCGACGCCGACCACGGAGCAGTCGGCGACTGGGCAGTCGGTAGGGAGGCCGACCACAGGGGAGAAGTCGGCGGGGAAGCCGACCGAGGTGCAGCAGGACGACGAGGGCAGCGAAGCCGGTGACAATGGAGGGGACGCCGAGGAGTCCAGCGACAACGATGTGGTGGAGGTCCAGCCAGGACCACGACGTACAGGCCGATTTCGGAGGCCACCTGACTTCTTCATACCGGCCGCCTTCACCACGGTGTACGTCATCGACGACGACGACTTGGCGTACGACGACGCCGAGTGTGAGAGTACGACGGCTTATGCTGGCTTTGCTAGCTTGCCTGGACATTATTATGCTATTACTAGCTTAGGTTTTATTTATCATGCATAGATATGCTTGATTTCCTAGGTTAGGTGCATTCCTATATGTTATTATAATTATAGCACCGAACCAGGTTACGTGTACCGAACTCAAGCCTTTTCGGTTCCCACCGAATTGCTTTCTACCGAGTTCGGGAAGGTTCTGTTCGGGACGCTTCGCGACCCTCAGAACATTCGCGTAACACCTGGGTTACCTGCCTTGTGTCAAGCCTATATACAGCTTCGCCTTGTACCCAGGTGAATCATTCAATAGATTTCTCTTTCCTGGACCAGATCCTCACACTTGGTAATCAGAGCGGGTTTATACGCGAGGTCTTCAACCGCTTAAAACCGGCCTTTAAAAACCGCGGGGGCGACGACGAAAGCGCCGATACGGGTATGTAAAATCAGTTCCGCGCAAATTTTTCTAAGTCCCCCTCGATCCGGTTTTCAAACACCCCTCAGGATTATTTGCAAAAAAGTTGGAATTTCGACCGTCAGGTCGATTCGAATCTCAACGGCCCAGAGAATTTCGCCCAAAAAGGTTGGAATTTGGAGCGTCGGATCGAGTTTCTTCTCAACGGCCGAGATCGGACACGAATTTCAACTAAGGGAGAATTGCCCGGCGTACAGACTTCGAGCTCGTCGATTCCGCAGCAGCAGCGGCGGCGACACCGACAATTGTACCTGCGACAACGGCAGCAGCTACAGTTAACCTCGAAGCAACGAAGCCGAGGCAACCAGAGACGTTCAATCCTACAGTTAAAGGGAGTGACGCTCGTCGATTTGTAGCTGAACTCGAAATTTACTTCGAAGTCGTTGGATGCACGACCCCGACAAAAGACGCAATGCGCATACTCCTCGCAGCAACACTGTTACGTGGCCCAGCTCTAGAGTGGATCAACAACAAACTTGTCCAAGGCGAAGGGACGTGGACGCAATTTCGGGCAGCACTAATCGAACAGTTCGACGCGTTGAACAGTAGCTACTACGGAACACGGCGCAACAAGCCAAATAGTGGCATGGAGCGATCGGCACCACCCACGACTGCCGACCCGATGGAGAACGACAAGGACGATGCGACTCAGCGGCTAGCAAACAATGAGACGTGCAAATTTTGTGGCGCTACAGGACATCGTATCTTGGAGTGTTGGAAAATGAAGAAAAGACGTGCGGAGCTGAAGGGCAAGAACAGTGCGACGCCCCCGAAGCAGAAAACGGACAACGTGGCAACTTCGGAAAGGGCGAAAAAAGGAGAAAATGATGGCGCGATTTTAAAACGTCACGACCAGCCGGCACCAGGGGAAATCGCCGAGACAAAAGGAGACTCCGCGAAACAAGACCCTGCACCGACTGGGAAACTCCAGCCGTACACCTCGACAAGTAAGAATATTACTTCTCGTGGTTTCCAAGCCTTTAATAAGGGAGACTCATAAATTAAACAGGCACCGGGTAATATGGGGACCCCATTCCGGAGCGTTGATAAGGGTCGAGTGTTCCGATGAATTAATATTCTCTCCCAGCAGCACGGTGTTAAGGCTCCCCGCCGTTCCCCACAGGTGAAGCCTACACAGCTGCAAAGGCTTAGGGGAAGGTTCCAGGCACAGGAGAAGCTGTACTAGCCTAGGATAAATCCTTCTAGCCCTACTCAGGTGAAACCTGACATTGAGTCAGCAGCTTTGAGCGCAAGACCTAAGGACGATATATTTGACGTACCCTATGATCCTGTAAGCGAGACCATCTACGGCTACTCAGAGCAGCAGCAGCCACTACTCCTCGAGGTGATCTGCAACGGGCGACGCCTCCAGGCACTAGTGGACAGTGGTGCGTCCCACTCGGTGTGCGACCGCGGGACGTTGGAGAAAATTGGAGAATCCTCAGAGGAGACCCAATTTACAGCAACGATGGTGGACGGTACGAAGCTTCCCATCCACGGCGAGACAACATTGCAGCTGCAGATAGGGTCGTTGACGTGGAAGCCGACGTTGCCGATCACGAACATCAAGGGATTAGATTTCATCTTGGGGCGAGATTTCCTGAAGCGGTTCAACCCCGAGATAGACTGGGACCGGCGGAATATCGAAGCTGTCAAGAAGTGGAAAGTACCGGAGAACGTGAAGGAGTTGCAGCAGTTCCTAGGCTTTGCCAACTACTACAACATGTTCGTGCCGCAGTACGCTAAGATAGCAGCACCACTGACCAACCTACTGAAAAAAGACACGCCCTACAAATGGGATACTCCTCAACAGCAAGCCATGGAGCAGCTACAGACAGCACTGACCACATCGCCAGTACTCATCCTACCGGACCCAGACAAGGACTACGTGGTGGAAGCAGACGCTAGTGACCAAGCAGTCGGAGCAGTACTGATGCAGGATCACGGACGCGGTTTGCAGCCCATCGCCTACCTCAGTAAGAAGCTACACGGAGCAGAACTGAACTACCCAATCCATGACAAGGAAGCCTTAGCGATAGTCACAGCCTTCAAGGCGTGGAGGTGTTATCTAGAGGGACTACAGTTTACACTGACCACTGCAACCTCAAATACCTGAAGTCGCAGCCGACACTCTCACGACGACAGGTGCGGTGGGTGGACTTCTTGGAGACCCACTTCCATTACGACATCGTCTACAAACCCGGGCTACACAACAAGGCAGACGCGTTGAGCCGCCCCGGTCACGTAGTAGGCATCCAGCTCGACGGGATGAACCCTCTGCTCAAGGGTCTATTCCAACATGGGTACTCCATGGACGCAGAGATTACAGTAGAAAAACAGAAGCTGTTACAGTGGGAGAAGGACTTAGCTGTAAGAAAGGGAACAGGGAAGATTTGGGTACCGAACTATGCCCTGCTCCGACAGATCTTACTGGAGGAGTTCCACGATGTGGCATACGCGGGACATTTCGGGAGCAACAAGACATTAGCAGGAATAGCAAAGTATTACTACTGGCCCTGGATGGCAGCAGGCGTGCAGCAGTTCGTCACCTCTTGCGACACGTGCCAGCGGATGAAGAGTAGCAAGCAGAAAAAAACAGGGTTACTTCAGCCTCTACCCGTACTGGAGCAGCTGTGGCAAGTCGTTAGCCTAGACTTCATCACTGGGCTACCTTCGACCTCACGAGGGCATGACGCTATACTCGTGGTGATCGAAAAGTTCTATAAAATGGGACACTTCATTCCGACCAACGCCACGGTTACAGCTGAAGCAACTGCTCGCCTCTTCATCGACCGCATCATCACCATCCACAGCATAATCTCGGACAGAGACCCAAAGTTCACAAGTAAATTCTGGAGGGAACTCACGGGTTTGATGGGGACAAAGTTTGCGATGTCTTCAGCGTACCACCCCCAGACTGACGAACAGACTGAGCGACTGCGCACAGTTTGCAAAGACGACATCAGCTACTGGGATCTACAGTTACCGACGCTTGAGTTCGCTTACAACAAAGCTTCACATGCGGCCACAGGGAAATCTCCTTTCTTCCTGTGTTACGGACAAGAACCAATTACACCACAGCAGCCAACCACACCGGCACACGTCCAAGCCGCACATGACTTCGTCACCACCATGCAGCAGCTATGGGAGAAGACTCAGCGACACCTCACCACGATGCATACCTCCCAGAAGCAGTATGCCGATCGCCAGCGACGTGATAACACCGTAGCAGTCGGAGATCAGGTGCTTCTCGACACGCGCAACTTGAACATGTCTCACCTACCATCCAAGCTCCGGCCTCACTTATGTGGTCCTTTTCACGTTGAGGCACAGGTGACACCAGTAACATCCCGCTTGCGCTTACCTACTACGTGGAAGCTTCACAACGCTTTCCATGTTCAGCTACTGAAGCAATATAAGGACCCCAACCAACAGTTCCAGGGACGCCAGCTACCGCCACCACCACCTGTTCTCGTACAGGATTCTCATGGTGGCAACACTGCAGAGGCAAGTGTTTCAGCAGCGAGCATTCGCCCTTGACCCCCAGATACAGGACGCCTTGCTCTAGGCTGACGAGCCTCAAGAGGCTCACGCGGCACACGAAGCACCCGTTGCTGTTGCTGCCGTTGCTGCCGCTACAGACGGCGCTGCTGCCTCTGATGATTTGCCTGCAGTTGAAACTTCAGCAGCCGCTAGTGGGATGAATGGTGCCCCTGATTTTACTGTGCCTGGTGGGAATGGTGCTGCTCGCCCCGCTCCCGCACCTGTGGGGCGCAGGCTCGTGGTAACGGCGCAGCTCCCGGACCTGGCGTCCGGGGCTGTGCGGTCGGTTCGGGGGCTGCTGGTTGGGCAGCTGGAGGCGCTTCCCCCGTACCTGCAGGAGGAGGGGGAGGACTGGGCGGAGGAAGGAGGGGTGGGGGAGGAGGAGGGCGGTGATATGGGGAGAGTGGTGAAGGGAAGAGTGGTGAAGGGAAAGGGGGATGGAAAGAGGAGTTTGCGGAATAGTGGAAGGGGAGGAGAGGGAGGGGAGAGGGGAAGGGAGCAGGAGGAGGAGGAGGAGGAGGAGGAGGAGGAAGGGAGAGAGGCCCAAGGACTGAAAAAGGTGGCTCAATTAGGCGGTCTAAATGACAGTGACCGTAGAACCAGCACCACTCCATCATCCTCCTCTTCTTCCTCCTCTTCCTCCCCATCCTCTCTCTCCTCATCGCCGTCCTACGTGGCAGTTATAGGGGAGGATTCCCATTGGTACGTCCTCCCCTCGCCCTGTATCCGCCAGCTAATCAGAGCGCAGTACAACCCCACCGACCAATCGGAGCTCGCCATGTCAGCGGCCGACGGGCGGCAGCTCGTTGGCAGGTACCTCTGGCCGGAGGGCCGGCAGGACGAGGCAGATGAGACGGCTGGGTGGCAGCGGGCGGCAAAGCTGAAACGTTTCCTGCCGCCTGTGCCGGAGATGCTACAGGGATGGCTCAGGGGGAGCGGAGGGGAAAAAGGGGAGAGAACGGAGGTGGGAGGAGGAGAAGAAGAAAGTGGAAGGGGCAAGTGGGGAGAGAATGGGAACGAGGGAATGATTGGGAAAATGGGAGATCGGGATTTGGGAGCTGCAGGAGACTCCTTACCCACCAGCACCACTGAAAGCGAATCACAATTTGCCTCGTGGCTATCCACCCCTCACCCCACATTCAGCGTCTGGCGAATCAAATCCAAAACCCCCCTCCTCCACCTCACCTCCGCCATCCGCTTCCCCCAAGGCTGGTCCCCCATCTCCCCCCTCTCCCCTTCAGAAGACTCCAATCACCTCACCCTCCCCTCCTCACTCTCCTCCCTCGAAGCCTCCCTCAAGTCACACAAGCAGAAGCTATCACAAATTAGAAAGAGAGTAAAGGCTTCGGCGGTGTATAAGCGGCGGCAGCAGCAGGTGACGGAGATGGGGAGGTGTGAGTATGAGGAGGGGAAGGTGGGGAGGCGGGTGGAGGCGCTGAGGAGGCGGATTGCGGGGATGCAGCCGGCGGGGTGGCAGGAGTTTGTTCAGGTGGTTCAGGTGCTGGCTCAGGCGGATGCGCTGGACCCGCAGAGCAGCACGCTCATGCCGCTCGGGGAGATTGCCGCCAAGGTGAGCAGCGACATGGCCAGGCCAGGTGGGTCAGGTGTTTGTTCAGGTGCTGTGTGGAAAAGCAGGTCAAATTCTCTCTTATGAAGATACAGGTGAGGTTGTAGCAGCGTTCTTTCCTCCTACCGGGATTTGGGTAATATGCAATCAGCTGAGTTTTCACCTGGGTAACCACCTACTTTGCAGGTGCTGGTTCAGGTGGATTCTTACAGGTGTGAGGGGTAGAGGAGCGGGGTGGCATAGTGGCGCTCTTTCACACATCGCTCCCTCATGCACCTCTCCCGTTTTTTCGCCTGGCTCCGTGTTGTGAACTGCCTCAGAACTTCCCTCTCCTTGCCTATTATCTGCTCCACCCTCCCTCCTTTGCACGCATGTACAAGGGGTGAACGAGTTGTGGATCGCGGTGGCACTCTCGCACCCCTCCCCCCCACCCATGTCGTGAGCTGCCTCTGAACGTCCCTCCCCTCACCAAAACTCTTCTCACCCCTCCGTCTCTCCATTCACGCAGGTGCGAGGGGTGAACGAGCTGTGGATCGCAGTGGCGCTCTCGCACCCCTCCCTCCCGCGCCTCTCTCCACCGGCCATAGCGGGGTGCTGCGCTGCTCTGGTGTCTGAAGGCATGCGCATGCGCACAGGCGACGGCAGGTGAGTCATTGTGGTGGGTTCTGAAGGCATGCACATGCGTACGGGAGACAGCAGCAGGTGACGGGTGTTAGTGCAGAGGTGAGAAATTTCAGGTGTCAACCATAAACCCTCCCTCGTTCTCCCGTTTTGCCCATTCCCTTTTGTTGCATCCTAACACCCACCCTGCCAGTTCGCCCTCCTTCCCCTACAAGCCGTCCTGGCAGGTGCGGGAGTGGGTGTATGAGGCATGGTCTGAGACGTCTCACAACTTGTCCTCCACATGTGCCCTCTCCCTAATGCCCTAGCCTTTCATATCATCCTTGGTCTCAACTCCTCCTCCCCCCACCCTCCAGTTCGCCCTCCTTCCCTTATGACCCTTCCTAGGATGTGCAGGAGTGGGCGTATGTGCGGGTTTGTTTCGAGTCGATCCAGAACTTGCTTTTCGCATCTGCCCTATCCCTTATGCCGTGCCCTTTGGTCTCACTTACCCCTTCCCCCCACCCTCGCACCGCCAGTTCGCCCTCCTTCCCGTACGAGCCTTCCTGGGAGGTGCAAAAGGAGGTGTACGAAGCTGAAGAGCGGCGCGATTGGCTGATGCAGCTCCAGCTGGTTGCCAACGTGGCAATCCCTGCTGACCTGGACGCGCAGTTCGCTGGAGTGGTGGAGGCGTGGGCGCAGGGTGTGACGTGGCTCCAGCTCATCGCTGACTGTGCGGGGCTGGACGAGGGGGACATTGCGCGGCTGCTAAGGCGCACCAATGATATACTTTCGCATGTTTGTTGTGCCACTTCATTGCTCCAGCCAACTACCGTCTCCCAAAGATCATCTCAATCTATCACGAGCATCATTGCCCCATGTAAAGCATCATCTCTCTGCTTCCGGATACCTTGTCACATGCCCTACCTCTCTCACTCTCCTCCATGTCCCCACTCTCCCTTTCTCCCACCCTCGCTCGCTCCTCTTATTGCATCTCACGTTATCCCTGCCTCCGCCTTTTCCACCTCTCTCCTCCTCTCCCGGCGTACACTCCTATTGCAGATCCCGTATCTTCCAGGCATCGATCCCTCATTGGCCAAGGCGGCAAAGCAGTCTGCGTATGTCATGGAGAGGCCACCTATCTCCGAGCTCATTGGCTGAGCATCATGTTGTAACTGCAGCACAATTCTCAGAGATTCGGCAGCTCAATTCTAGGTTCTAGGTTCTCAGTCCGGCTTTGTGCAGTAGTGTACATTTTATGAGAGGTGAATGCTTTTGTTTAACGTGCTATGCTGATGATAGAATCAATGAATCGATTAATGTTCACTGATTGAGAACCTCGCAGCTGAAAGGGCAGTAATTGGTGAATGGACCCACTTTGGTGTGTTGGTGTGCATATGCTACCTACAAAATCTTACACTCTCTGAACGACTGTAACATAAAGTACAACTGAACGACCTCTGATTCGCTCGCAACCAGATCGTGAGGTAACCTGCCCTAATACTGCTGCTTCGCGATGCACCCCCTTGCTCCCTCCCAGCCCTGCCCGTCGCAGAGCTCCGCAACGAAGCGGGCACGGCATTTCACGGAATACCACACTGGGCAAAGGCCATCTCTTTCCCAATTTTCCACGCGTTTTTGCAAAGTTGCAAGCGGCTGGCGAAGCACCACCTCGATTTGCAGGGTACCACGCGAATTCGCGAAACAATATCCGGAATCGCGAAACACCGCTTATTCGCGAAAAAACACGCGAATTCCCGAAGCACCACGCGGATTCGCAAACCTGCTCGGTCCGAGCTAACCAGAGCTTTCTCGCTGCATCTCGACAGTCCGAGGTGGTTCTAGAACCACGGTCATCATTCATGCCACTTCTATAAATACAATTGGCGAGTGACGGAGACATCATTCAAAAACCTACAACACCTTCAGCTACTTTCATACCAGCTTACGACGAACTCAAAGCTTTAGACGAACTCTTATTTTCAAAATCGTACCAGCTTCGCCAGCACCTCATTGGATAGACGGTCTTCAGAGAATGGCATTCGGTATGTCAGATCTGCATTTCGAGCGACAGCAACCTCACCTTCTCGCATCGTCTTACCCGACCCATTGTCATTCCCAACCGTCACCTTGGAACTTTGCCTCCTCTTCGTCTCCGCTTTTTGGCGATCCTTCCTATTCGACAACGGTTTTGACTCATCAGCTGGGAATATGACGCAGAGACGTGTGAAATAAGAACGAGAATGTTTGAACTATGAATGAAGTGAGTACATATGGGAAACCCTAATTGGGTTGTACCCCTTATGGGATACCCCACTATAGCCTACACAACAGCATAAGCTATATAATGTTCTGACAAGACGACGCAATGACACACGGAAACATGAGATTGCGCGGAAGCAGCAAGCGCACGAGCTTGACGCGCGAAGGCATGCAGCGTACGCGCGAGGGGCGCAGCACGACGTGAATGAGACAAAGATTCGACAATCACAGCACCAGGAGCAAGCAGCTGCCCATCAAATACCCGTCCAGCACCCAGCAAACAATAGTAGCAAGCGCCCCGAGACGCCGGCAGCGTCGCCAATGGCGGGCGTCGCCGGAATTCCTGCTGCTAAAATCGCTCGCGTATCGTCATTATCGGCTGACGATGCTGCTCGGAAGTTGCAAGCAGTATGGCGGGGCTATTCTGTGCGCCAAGGCAAGCCTCTCGAACTGGCTTGGTCCATAGCTGACGTTCGGAAACTGGTTCACGAGATGGACGCGCAGCTTCGGAATAACGAATTCGTGGCTAAGATGGTTTCTGACCCTTTGGAAAAGCTTCGGGTGAGCGAGACGATCATGAGCTGGCTGCTTCGGTTGGACGAGGTGCAGTCCCCGAACCAGGACGTTCGGAACTTGCGTCGGGACATGGCCAGGAAGCTGACGAAGTTGCTAGACAGGGTCGACATTCTCACAAGTACTCAACCACAGGAGGCTGAGGCTCCCCTTGAAGTTCCTGTTGACACGGGTGTTACCACAATGGGTGATACAGGACAGACCCACCGTGTGAGGATTCATGCCATTGTGGCAGTCAATGCAGCGACAAGAGATGTGTGAGCTGCGAGAGCTCTGATGTTGCCAGAAGCACGCATCACGTGGGGAGAGTGGCTAAGAGGCGAAATCAGAGGCACTGGAGGGACGCCTTGTGGCAGTGGAAGGAGAGAATGGCTGGGAAGCGAGGCGGTGCATGCTAGTAGCCTAGAACTGTAAATATGTGTATATCACAAAACCCCTGGTTGCGCAAAACACACGCGGGGGGAATTAGGAGATGTACATAGTACTGTAATTATATATAATATATATATATCTATCTAACATGAGCTGTTTTTGCGTGTCTGGATTACATCTGAATACTCGGATCATAGTGATTTCTATGTTTGAAACTGCAAGAACACTGCTGCTGTGATTTCTATGTTTGAAACTGCAAGAACACTGCTGCTTCTACGACGGCGATTCACATAACCATGGTCTTTTAGTGAGTTTCTTTTCCCCAGCTTGGCCACCGACCAGGAAAGCAGTGTTGACATTCTGACGGAACCAAGCCGCGTCTCACGCTTTCATACAACCACAGTCCATTCGTTGATGGACACATAAGACCTATCATTGATTCGTGTCGACCGCGATACGTGTGTTTCTTTACGTAGGGTAGGATAGGTCGGTGATTACAGTATGTACTTTACCCAACAAACTCCCCTAAAGAATGCTCACAGACACTTAGCTAGACGCACTAGAAGCGCGCATCTTCTCCACCCAGTAAACCTGTTTGGGCACCAATGACACGTGCTTGTTACCTCTGCGACCGTGCCGTGTTTACTGCAGCACACGCAGGAAGGAGGTTCCCGTAGCCTGACGTGGCGACTTCTACGAGTCGATTGGTTGATCCACCCAGATGGCGACATCGTTTTGCATGTCGTCGCGACTCGTCATAACCCAACGAAGGCCGCTGGCTAGTTCGCCACAAGCTCGTCAAAGCTGCTCAACCAAGCTGCGATGAGGTGGCAGCTGTTTCGCGACACCCGCTTCCCCCCTTCTCCCCATCTCCCTCCCCCACACACGCCTTCCTCATCCTCCACCTCCCACGCTCGTGCCTCGCCTGATTCCTCCCCCTCCTCTCTGTCTCTGGTTTACGGCTCTCGTTGACCCGTCGTTTATAAGTACGTAGAAAATGTAGAACACGATCACAGCATCGCTCAAGCATACTCGTCACTAACGCCTCCCAACTGCCTCGCACCCGACCAGATAGCACGAACGCCACGCTACGCCGCCCACCACGGTCCACGCTTCCCTCCCGCCACCACTATCACTGAGCCTTTCGGTCCGAGAAACCACGTTGAGCCGTATCCAACTCCTCACCCGCCCCTTGCCGCTTCGAGCAATTTGTCATATTTTCGTGAAGATTGACTCTACTTGTCGAATCGCGTCGCCTATTCGCCGCGCTCGCGTCGCCTCTCGTCGCCTCCAGTCGCCTCTGGTCGCCTCTGATCGCCTCCGATCGCCGTATCCATGGCCCGCCTTCTCGCGCTTTCCCTGCTCGCTCTCAGCTGCGTGCTGCTCCTCGCGTCGCAGGCCGTCGCCACGCGCGTCGAACCGTCGTCGCAGAGCCCTCGTGCGCCGTCATTCGCGACGAACATTCGCCGCCAGCTGCTGTTCGGCCGCTTCAGCTGCGGCAGGTCGAACCTCAAGGGATACACGTCCAAGGCCGGTCTCACATCCGGGTAAGAGCAGATGGCAGATTGCGGCCTCAGTAACGGACAGCGTGGGTTTTGAGTCGACTTAAAAGTCGAACCTCAAGGGATACACTGCTTCGGAACAGCGGCCCGCTGGAATGGCGGCCGTCGTGTCGCGCGAGCTGGATCGCTGAGCTCCGGCGTGCGACTTCCGCATTCCACCCGCTTTCGCCGCCCACATCCTCGCGCATTCCCTCATCCCCGCGAATTCCCCCTCCCCGCGAATTCCCCCTTCCCCCCCCGCATTCCTCCATCCCCGCGCATGTCACTCCCCCCGGCAGGCTGGTGCTGCACTTGAAGGCCACCAAGGGACGGACAGTGCAATGGCCGTGATAGCATGCCGCAGGGTGGTTCGCCGTTGGCTTCTCGCTGCCCCATCCTCCGGCCTCCTTCCTCATCCCCCTCGCTCCACCCGCTTCCTCATCCCCCTCTCAGGCTGGTGCTGCACTGGAAGGCCACCAAGGGGCGGACAATCAAGATGGCCGTGGTGGCATCGGTAGCCAAGGCGGCGGGGTGGTTCGCCGTGGGCTTCCCATTTTCTTAGAACGCTCTCCGCCCTCCATCCTCATCCCCATCTCTCCACCCGCTTCTGCCCCCTTCCTACCCGCACATCCCCCCTCCCCCGCACATCCCCCCCTCCCCGCGCCCCCTGGCAGGCTGGTGCTGCACTGGAAGGCCACCAAGGGGCGGACAATCAAGATGGCCGTGGTGGCATCGGGGGCCAAGGCTGCTGGGTGGTTCGCCGTGGGCTTTTCGCCTAATGGCGGCATGTCGGGCAGCAACGCCATCGCCACTGACTCCTCGGGCAGCCCGGTGACAAAAGATCTCGTCGGGCAGTCATCGGCGGACGATGCGGCGTGGACCGTCGGATCGGGCTCGATCTCCACGTCTGGTGGCAAGGTCACTATGAAGTAAGCAATGCGGTGTGCTCTTGAATATGGAGTTTCCCTCGTCCTCAGATCCCTCGTTGTAAGTCCCCTCGTTGTAGGCACTCTCGCCGTAAGTTCAGTCGTTCATGGTTTCCTCGTGAATTTTATTCTTGTCCTTCAGCTGCCTTGTTGGCGCTCTTTACCACTCTCCCACCCATATGCCTTCATATAACGAGGGTTACATTTGAGGCTCAGCGGAGGCACTCAACCCTTACGTATAAGCCCCACAGGCGTAGCACTCTCCCTCTCTCTTTCTCCACCATCTCTCTAGATCTTTCATTTGATTGCTCACCATCTTCTCACCTGTCCCCACTTGTTCCACCACTCTTCACACCAGGTTCACGAAGAACAAGGGCGATGGGGCATCGGTGAAGGTTAAGGCTGACAACGACAACAACATTGTGTGGGCGTTTGGCGATGGGGATACTGTCTCAATGCACAATGGAGCGTAAGTGTACCTTCCAAGTATCTCTTTATGCCTTCCGGCGTGCGAGTGTATGCAAGTATGCATCATGCTGTGTTTCTTCATTCTTGGGGTTTTTTCCGCTTTTTTCGCTGCATGAGATGTGGGATTTGATGCGCTTGGAACATTTTGTTGATATTCAAGTAAGCATCTGTTGCTTGTGTTCTCTGTGTGGCGTGTGGTCCACAGTGGTAAGGCAAGCATCAACTTCGCCTGCGGGTGCCCGATGTTTCAGAGCAAGTGCTAAGCAGCTGCAGGTGGTAATGGAAGCCAGCAGGCGGGGAGCTCTGTGAATGGTGCTGAGAATGGGAGAGAGAGACCCATGTTGTACATGCATAGGCATGGATGCGTTCAGAGTGGATGCATGCTCAAACTGATGAATCCTCCTGCCTGGATGTACCGTAGTTTGAGTATGAATCCTGTACTCTGAAACGCATCCTGAGGATGTTGTATGAATATTATGGTGCCATTTGCTTGTACCGTGTTGAGATGTGTGCACTTAGCGTGGATCAGACCAGCTCTATTGTCTGAAAAGATGGGAGAGAGGCTCAAGCACTGGAAAAGGTGCCCCAAAACCCTGAAAGACAGCAACACCTCTCCATCCTCCTACTCTTCCTCTTACCCACCTTCTCCCTCCTCGCCGTCCTCCTCGCCGTCCTACGTGGCAGTCATTAGTGAGGATTTCCATTGGTACACCCTCCCGTCTCCCTGCATCAGCCAGGTAATCAGAGTGCAGTACCGTCTTTTCCCAGATATAGGACCCTCCGGTAAGTGAGTCCCCTGGGTCTTATGTGCGGGGGGTTGATAAGGGGATCAGGAAATTGGAATTCGGGAGCGGCAGGAAATTCATTACCCAGCAGCACGGAAAGCGAATCACAATCCGCCACGTGGATCTTCACTCCTCACCCCACATTCAGCGTGTGGCGAATCAAACCCAAACAACCCATCCTCCACCTCACTTCCGCCATCCACTTCCCCCAAGGCTGGTCCCCCATCCCCCCCCTCTCCCTCCATGATGACTCCAACCATCTCTCTGTCCCAAATTTGCTCATGCCACTCGGGGAGATTGCTGCTAAGGTGAGAAGCGACATGGCCTAGTGAATCAGGTGTTTTTTTCAGATGTGGGTGGTGGGACAGGTGTTTGTTCAGGTGGTGCCACATGTGTTGGCTCAGCTGATGTACGGTGGTGGGACTGATGGGGATGTGGAAAGAGGTAACTCACCCCTTGCATGCTGCAGGGACCAGTGGTAACTGCCAAGGTAGGCTTCGTTTCGTCCATGTTACATCTTGTCACCCCTTATCCCCCGGTTCACGTGTGTGTGGAGTGCAATCAACGGGTTGTGAGTTGAGTGCAATCGACGGGTTGTGATTTGAATGCAACCAACGGGTCGTGAGTTGAGTCCAATCAACAGGTTGTGAGCTCTCTTCCACCCCTCACTCCCGTCCATGCATAGTGCCGGTTCTCCTCCACCCTTCGCTCCCGTCCATGCATAGCGCTGGTTCTCCTAGAAGGTCCTTCGTTAGAATAAGCAGTCGATACAGCACACTATGATTTTCAGGAATGTAAGCAAAGCAAGCTGACTACGGCCGCTCGAGCAGAGGCTCGAGCCTCGACCTCAAAGGCCGTACGGTTCTTGGCAATGAGGGCGTTGGGTTTGGCACCCTGTAGCATGACGAACCATCATTGACGGTAAGAATGGTACAGCTTCATGGCCTCCCGTGAGGTCGGCTCAGCATTGTGCAACCTCTTTCCTACCATTTTGGCACAAAGTCGGATGAAATTGAGCACTCCCAGTGAGTGGTACCTGTAAGTCTCCACTTCCATTGTCAGAAGCACACCCATGCAAACCGTGCCGCCCGTGCTGCAACGGATGTTGCCCAACCCACAGCCCGTCTCGCAGTCGGATCGGGGTGAGATAGCGTCGGTAAGTGTCATGTCACACAGCCATACCGCCCCCGAGTCTGGGTGCCTAATGGCTAAGTCCGCCTTCAAGCCCTCCACCGGCTTGTATAGAGTTCCAACTGCACTGCGAATCCCTCTTCTTAAGCGAGGTGACTTTGAGTCGAATCAAAAGTCGCCTCGGCCACACTCGTTGCAGAGTGCATGGTGGGTCCCGGTGCGCCCTTACCCAGCTCCGTAATGAAGGAGGTGGTTTGGGAGGCGTGTGTCCATAATCTTTGTCTTGTCCATAATAATTGTTGCAATCACAACAGCCAGACAACAGTGGCAGCAGCCCCAGGCGGAATGCATCCACAGATGCGAAGGGGGGGCAGTCATGCGGTGGGATTTGGAAAGGGGGATGGACGTGAGCCAGTCCCCAGCTTCCAGGTCGAGGAGTGATTGGAGGCGCTGGGTGTTGCCTCAGAGGGGGTTCACGGCCAGCTTCCGCCTTTCCCCCAGGCGTCAGCGAAGTGGGCCACCTGCACATGGAGGGAGATGAAGCGTTGGATTTAGGTTTGCTCCTCCCCTTCCCGTAAGCGAGGCACGAGGTCGAGGGCCTCGATAGGCAGGGTGGCCTCCGCCGAAGCTATGCGGCGTGGGAGGGTGGAGCTAATGGTATTGTTGGCGCCAAAAAAGGGGAGGAGCGCGGACGACACCAATGGCTATGCTGCACAGTGCAACTATTTTTGGGTGAGTGGCGTTTGTGCATCGGCCGAGCAGGTGCTCGGAGGCTGTCGCTAAAGCAAGGTAACGCGGAAAGCACTCAACTGCAGGGTCGGGAGGCCAAATATTCTCCTCTCTCTCCTCTGCACGCAGGTGCGAGGGGTGAACGAGCTGTGGATCGCGGTGGCGCTCTCACACCCCTCCCTCCAGCGCCTCTCTCCCATAGACATTGCGAGGTGTTGCACTGCTCTGGTGTCTGAAGGCATGCGCATGCATATAGGCAACGGTAGGTGAGGCATAATGTATGCTAAGAGAAGCAGGGCTGGGGAGGGGTGGCAGTGGCATATGAGGGAAAGATGGCATGTGTCACCTAGTGTCTGAAGGTATGCGAGTGCGCACAGGCGACAACAGGTGAGGGGTGGGATTGACAATACACATATGCATGAGAACAGGGGATGCCAAGTGGGCAGTGGCAGTGCAGAGGGGAGCAAGATGCAGAATGCAGAGGGGAGCAAGGGGCACGTGTCACCCCTCCCTCCTGCGCCTCTCTCCACCGGCCATTGCTGGGTGTTGTGCTGCTTTGGTATCTGAAGGCATATGCGTGCGCACAAGCGACAACATGTGAGGGCTGGGAGTGACAGAAGGGCATACACGCTAGGTGAGGGGTGGCGGTAGCATCGGGGGCAGACAAAACAAATCGTCACCTGATGCCTAAAAGCATGCACATACGCATAGGTGCCGGCAAGTGAGGAGTGGCATTGGGGAAAACAAGGGCAAGTGAGCAGCTGTGTGATTTGGGGAAGCAGGGCAGGGAGGTGATGTAACTGTTATTCGGCTCACCTGGTGGGGGAAATGGGAGCACATGCGCAAGGGGAAGCAATGAAGAGGAGTTGAAGTGGGGGTGAGGAGTAGCAGTAAGGATGAGGAGTGGCGGTGAGATTGACGAGTGGTAGTGAGGGTGAGGAGTGGGATGGAAAGGGCAGCAACGCCACAATTATGTCAGGAGTACTTGCTCTCCCATTTTCCCTAACCCTTACGCCCTGCCCTTTTGCCTCGCCCTTGGTCTCACCCCTCCTTCCCATCCCCCCCCCTCGGCCAGTTCGCCCTCCTTCCCCTACTAGCCCTCCCGGGAGGTGCATGGGTGGGTTTACAAGGCCGAGGAGCGCCGTGATTGGCTGATGCAGCTCCAGCTAGCTGCCAACGTGGCAATCCCTGCTGACCTGGACGCGCAGTTCGCTGGAGTGTTGGTGGCATGGGCACAAGGTGTGACGTGGCGACCGCTCATCGCTGACTGTGCAGGGCTGGACTAGGGGGATGTTGCGCGGCTGCTTAGGAGAACCATTGATCTGCTCTCTGAAGCTTGTGCCACCATTGATCAGCTCTCTTAGGTTTATTGCAACCACCATCTCACCATCTGCTAAGGGGCACCATTGATCTCCCTCAAGTTTGAGCCATGTCATTGATCCAACCAAATCAAATATAAACTCTCTTTATCACAAGCATCATTGCCCTATCTAATAGACTGTCTTTGTGTTTCTAAGATATGTTTATTGCAATAACCACCTCACCATCTGCTAAGGGGCACCTTTGATCTCTCTCTGGTTGGAGCCGTGTCATTGATTCAACCAAATCCAGAATAAACTCTCTCTATCACAAGCATCATTACCCCATCTAATGCATCAATATGTGTTTCTAAAATGCCTTGTCAAATGCCCTATCTCACTCACTCTCCATGCCCCCACTCTCCCACCCACCCTCGCTCCTCTCCCTCTCTCTCTTCTTTGGCATCCAGATCCCATATGTTCCTGGGATTAAACCCTCTTTGGCTAAGGCGGCAAAGCAGTTCGCGCATGTCATGGAGCGACCGCCTATCTCGGAGCTCACTGGTTGAGCGTTATGTGTTAACCGCAGCACGGTGCTCCCTGCATCTCATTTCTAGGTTCCGAAGTGATGTGTAGGCATGTTCATCCGCTCTGTGTAGAGTAGAGTGTGCATTTGTTTAAAACCCGCAGGCCAATCATTTCAACCTCAGGAAGGTTGGTTGGGAATGAAAACCCCGATTGGCCGGCGAACTAAAGAAGTGTCGAGACACATTGACGTGCTTCGCGTGCTACAGTCTTGGTTCGCCAAAGTTACCCGGGTTGAAATGCGACATGAACACAATCGCTGGATATCAGTCGCACGAAGCCTAAAGCAACGACTCACACCAACCTTTCTCTCAATCTCAATTTCCAACCCCATGTCACTGCATTACCATGGAGTACCCCACCCATCCGACTCGTAGCTAGAAAGCTTAGCTCAGAGCGCGGGCAAAGCCCCATCGTCAAGTACGGAAGGGCTTACAGTGAAAACGTACGGAAACTACGCACGTCATGATTTCCAATCGCCTCGAAATCGAAACCGTGGAAAACCCCCTCCTCGAAAACGCGCGTAAGTACGAGAGCTGACATGCCGCGATTCCCAGATATGCCTTCGCGTGTAGGGTATGAACGTGCGACAAGGTCAACACGCCCCGACTGGACATTTCCAGCGTCACGATTAACCTACGCACGCGCCACGGTTACCATTCCCTCACGCCGTGATTCACACAAACCTCACGCCCGCTTTGAACATCACCACGCACGGCTATATTTCCCGCAATGTCGGTTTCCGCGACTTCTTCCATTCCATACATTTTATAATTCGAGATTTGCAGGCGCCAGGAAGTCGGTATGTGGGCTAGTTGGTGGGCTGCGTGCGTCTAAAACAGGTTATATAAACTCGGGAATAATGACTGGCATTTTTGGGGCAGGTTTCTCTTGCCCATGTGCCTCGTGTATAGGCTTGTTGGTGTTGGGCGATAGTTCCGTGCGATCCTTCCAAACTGGGCTCTTGTCGCTGCTCAGTGTTGGGGTGTGGTGAATGTTGGCAACCAGTTTTGTGTGTGTTGGAAAGCTGCCACCGTGGGAAACCGGGTAACATCCAACCAACCTTAGGAAGGATGAACCACTTTTGGCTTTCTTGACACGCGGGTTTTAATGTGAACTTCTTACATACGGATTGATTTTTTTTCTCTCATAATTTTTAGTTGACATGGTTGTAGTATGGGGGAAAACAAGCCCTTTAAACAGTGGCTCAAAGGGTATCATTTGGTCACACCTAAGACCCACTCTCGTGTGTCTGTGTGCAAAAGGGCCCATAAACTCCTCAAACTCTCTTAATGAATGTAACAGAAGGCTCGTTTGATTGTTCTCTTTTAGCTTTGTGCGACTTCCACTCGGTTCACAACAATGTCGCAAAAAAAATTGTCGTGATTCCGCCTCTTTGCGACGCACAATTCACATCACTCCCTGGGCACGTAAGGGCGTGGAACATCTAGGAATTTTTCCAAACGAACCATACTACATGAACGGTTAAAAATTGTATGTTTAGTGAACGGTTGCGCTTTAGACCGGTAAGGGCATGTAACATTGTACCGATCAAGCCTAAAACCCGACCAAATGGTTGGGCCAGGCGAATGCGAATCAGTGTAACGTTTGAGGAAACCCCGCCACACATTTCAGACAGAATGACCATTTTGTTCACGAGCTGTGGGGCACCCACCCTTAACTACCCGCGTAATTAGAATTTAGAGGTTTAATCCAAAGTGCGTGTATACAAAATTTCTGAATGTTTTATGTAGTTAGTGTGACTACCACGTAATCCTAATATGCGGGTGTTACCCCAAATAGTCCGCAATCGTCAGAACCGCCCAATGGTCGCCCTTTTTTGTTGGTCGGTACAATGTTACACGCCCTAACCTTCCGAGCCGTATCGTTTGTTTTGAGAAATTTCCATATGTTCCACGCCCTAATATTTTATGATTAGGGGAGATGTCCAGCGGAGCTTCTAAACCCTTGCCCAGGTTAAGAGTAGTACAAGTCGCAAAAGTGCGTGTACACAAAATTTCTGAATGTTTTATGTAGTTAGTGTGACTACCACGTAATCCTAATATGCGGGTGTTACCCCAAATAGTCTGCAATCGTCAGAACCGCCCAATGGTCGCCCTTTTTTTTTGTCGGTACAATGTTACACGCCCTAACCTTCCGAACCGTATCGTTTGTTTTGAGAAATTTCCATATGTTCCACGCCCTAATATTTTATGATTAGGGGAGATGTCCAGCGGAGCCTCTAAACCCTTGCCCATGTTAAGAGTAGCACAAGTTGCAAAAGTGCGTGTATACAAAATTTCTGAATGTTTTATGTAGTTAGTGTGACTACCACGTAATCCTAATAGGCGGGTGTTACCCCAAATAGTCCGCAATCGTCATAACCGCCCAATGGTCGCCCTTTTTTGTTGGTCGGTACAATGTTACACGCCCTAACCTTCCGAACCGTACCGTTTGTTTTGAGAATTTTCCATATGTTCCACGCCCTAATATTTTCTGATTAGGGGAGATGTCCGGCGGAGCTTCTAAACCATCCGAACAGGACGTTCGGGAGTCACATTTGGACGACAGGGCGTTCGGACCACAGTTGTAGAACCTTTTTTCATATTTGAAATTCAAGCAAAGCGTAACACACACTACAACCAGCGCCAGTTTCGCCATATGTAATCGCGCTCTAATGACAGCGAAGATAGAACGGATGGTTCGGCGGGCCGTTCGAACGGTGTCAGCTCAGTTTTCCGAACCACATTTGACAGGAATGTGTCAGATTTTGTCTGGACGCATGCGACGTCATATGGGGTCTTGCGAAACGTGTAAAGGAACCCGACAAGAAGTGTTCCCTACCAAAGTCTAGACGGACCACTGTCCACACAATTGGTTTGGGAAAAGTTACGCTCCGTTACAGCCCATCTCAAAGCTTCGGTAGGATGTGAGCTCGGAAATTCCTGGCATGGGTTGTCAGCCTCTCAAATCAACTCCCCCACACGGCTTTGTGAAGCTCCACAGCCGTTCGCAAACATGCTGAGCCCGTCCCAGCCTGAGCTTACCCATTGCCTCTTGTTGGTGCGAGATGGTTTGAGAACCACCATCAAGAGTCTAGCTGCTCCTCTGAATACAGCCTCCAGGTGAAGGAGCCATCATTCAACCTACAATCGTTATTTTTTCCGCGAACTAGTTTACTATCACATGAGCTTACGACGATCTCAAGGCTTATACAAACGCCTATTATCAAAATTGTATTAGAGCGTGGTACACATAGGTGAAGATCGCAAAACAATAAGGATCATTTCGACGATCCTTGCATACCAGCGCCTTACCTACCACTGTACAGTGATAACTGTACCAGGTGCTGTACCAACAAAGGGAGGATCGAAATCATGAGTAGTCTAAGCTACCCACTTTTAGTGTTCTCGAAAAAATCATGGTAACTACCAATCTCAAGGTGATCTTTGCATTTCTGTACCAAAGAGAGGTTGATCCTTGTTTACAAAAAGTCATACAGTCGTAATCGTATTTGTGAGGATCGAGGATTGAGTTCAGTTATTGAATCATGAATCCTGGGTCCAACTACGGGGCTTATATAGGCACGAAACAAGGCCAGTAACCAGGATGTTACGGGAAGGTTCCGAGGGTCGCAAAGCGTCCTGAATGGGTCCTTCCCGAATTCGGTAGGATCATGTAAGTGGAATCACGTGTTACGCAAAGTCACGCGGTGATAAACCAAAATAGAAATAAAACTAGGAAAACAACAAAACTATAGTATCTATAGTAAAGCAACAAAACTAGGAAAACAAGCACAAGAAAATTGAAACAAGCAAGATAATGCAAGGTAAAATAAATATGGGTAAGTGTAGCCGCTCTACTCTCACAGTATTGCACCGCTGTCACACAGTCGCAACCAAAACATTATAAAAAGGGAACTCGGACCAATGAAGCTGTTGTGTCTCAGCCTGTAACACGCTCAACATGGTCGCACAGGAACACCACTGCAAATTTGCATATGGTACACCAACAAGGATCGTGATGTGCCCCAAATACATCATTTTTTACCACTCATAATCATACTGTTGGTGTGTTGGTGATCTCAACAACGTGATCCTTTTTTTTTTGTTTTTTTTTTTTTAAAACGGCAGGTGCAATATGCTCTTAGCTTCACCAGCACCTTATTGGACAGAGACAGTAATCGGAGAATGGCATTCGGTATGTCGGATTTGCTCTTCGAGCGACAACAACCCCACGTTTTCGCATCTCCTTTCGCAAGCCATTATCATTCTTAGCCGTCACCTTGGAACTTCGCCTCATCTTCATCTCCGCCTTTTGGCAATCCTTTCCAGTTCAATGATGGATTTGACTCACCAACAGGGAACTTGGCATAAAGATGATGCAACGATGCACGAAAACAT